ATAATCCTCAGCAACGGCGTACCCCTGTCCAAATCTGCAACAACTCTGACGTTTTTGCGCGTGTCGTGCGTCCAGATGGCCCCCGTCTTGCGCCCGTGAACAACCTCCGTCAAGGAAACCGCGCTCCCCGAACCCACCGACCTGCACTTGACATCACCACATGTCAGTTGCGATACTCGTCGTTCTGATCCATCTGCCCACCTTGCCATTGCCTGCATGCTGTCGTCGTCACCGTCGGGCGCGAACACACTCACGCTATAGTCCTTGCTCTTCTGCGAGTCCTTCATGCGAAACGCCTGGCCCAGGTCTGCTGAGTATCCGTACGTGTATCCATCATCGGCGCCATCAGCTGCTGGGCGGTCGAGACCGCTGCCATCGTCATCATCAGCTGCTGGGCGTTTGGCGACGCCGCTGCTATCGTCATCATCAGCTGCTGGGCGCCTGAAGACAGCGCTGGGCGTCCGTTTCATCGTGGCCTCGGGTTCTTGAGTGTCCTCGCCCCACGCGTCATGGCCATCATCGTCATCTTCAGCAGGGTCGGGTTCGCCATCCTGTTCTTCCTCTCCATCCTCTTCTGCTCCGTATTCGTCTTCATTTTCGTGGGCCTCATCGTCTTGTTCTGCATGCGGTGTCCCAAGAACTTCAAGCGCCCACGATGTTTTCGACCTGCCCCGAAGAGCCAGCTCCTTGCAGAGTTCCCTGATGCGTTCCGATACTGCCTTGACCATCTCGTTCTTCGCTCTGGGGCTCAACTGGGGGGAATCGTGTTCTTCCTCCTCATCTTGCTCCTTCTTCTCTTCCTCCTCCTCCTCCTCCTCCTCCTCCTCCTCCTTCGTCTCTTCCTTCTCTTCCTCCTCCTCCTCCTCCTGCTCCTCCTCCTCCTCCCCCTACTCCCAAGCCTTCTTTCCCTCCTCCTTATCCTCGCCCGCAACCTTAGCATCCTTGGGAGGAGGATGGGGGAGGAGGAGGAGGAGGAGGAGGAGGAGGAGGAGGAAAAGCAGCGGTAGGATGGGGGAGGATGAAGGGCAGGAGGAGAGGGATGGGGGAGGAGAGGAGGAGGCGGAGGAGGAGACTGGGTGGTAAATATAGCTCCCGTCGGCCCCTCATCACCTTCCATGCCTTGTCCTGCTGGCTCTCCCCCGCGTTCTTAGCCTTGGTATCGATTACGAACCCGATGGCATCCATGACAGCCTCCTTCTTGAAGTACACTTTCGGGTGCACCTGCCGATCGCAGGGCGGCCAGTTTCCTCATCGCCTCACTTTATTTCGCTCCCTCCCCCTCCCACCCCGCCTCCTCCTCACTCCTCCTTCTTCTCCTCCTCCTCCTCCTTCTCCCCCTGAGCCCCCCCCCGAGGAAGAATCTGAGCCCCAAACTCCTCCTCCTCCTCCTCCTTCTCCTCCTCCTCCTCCTCCTCCTCCTCCTTCTCTTCCTCCTCCTCCCGCCTCCGCCATCTCCTGCCGCCCCCCTCCCTCCTTTTCCATCCACCGCATGCCTTCGCCAGCGCGCTGAGCAGACTGGAGTGCTGCTTGATCGCCGTCTGCATGGCCGCCGTCGTGGTCTCGAACTTCTGTCCAGGGGTATCTAACTCTCTCTCTCTCTCTCTCTCGCTCTCTCCCCCTGTTCCTGCTGCTGCTGCTCCTCCTCCTCCTCCACCTCCTCCTCCTCCTCATCATCAGCCCTCTCCTCCTGCCCCCCTTCTCCTCCGCCTCCTCCTCGTCCGCCTCCTCCGCATATTCTGTCTCGCCCCTTCCTGTTCCTTTCTCCTGCTCCTCCTGCTCCTCCTCATCCTCCTCCTCATCCTCCTCCTTTTCGTCCTCCTCCTCGTTTTATTTCGGCCCCGTGTCCTTGATGATCGGGGGCTTCAGCGCAAACGGCAGTATCGCCGCTGCGATGGCCTTCGGGTCGCCATTGGCCTCGGACTTCGGCATCTCCAGGGGGATCGCCAACGCCAACTGTCTGCTTTCTAGCCCCCTCCTGTCCAGTACCCCCCCTCTGGCCACCACGCGTGCTGGCAAGAGGGGGGGTACTGGTCACCACGCGTGGTGGCCAGAGAGGGCCGCAAATCTTCCGCAGATGCATCTGCGGAAGATTTGCGGCGGGACGATGACAAGTTGATTTGGCGACCCGCCCTCGTTTCCCCCCGGCCTTGAAGCGCGCCCTGAGCCAAAGGGCACCCTCGGCGGCGAGAGGAGGAGGAGGAGGAGGAGGAGGAGGAGGAGGAGGAGGAGGAGGAGGAGGAGGAGGAGGAGGGGGAGGGAGGGGAGGGGGAGGGGGAGGAGGGAGGAGGAGGAGGAGGAGGAGGAGGAGGAGGAGGAGTAGGAGTAGGAGTGAGGAGGAGGAGGAGGAGTTGGAGGAGGAGGCCTCCTGAGGCCCTTGAAAGGAATTTACCCAAATATCCAAGAATGTCCAACACGAACAAAACAGAATCCGATGTGAAATGTGGTTGCTTCTGCTATACTTTGCACGCAACAAAAACAACAAACTGTCTGAAACGCCACGCCTCGACCCGCCCAGGGCCTCCGAGGCTCTGGGCGGGTTCCAACAAAAATACAAACAATGATGATCAAAACAAACAAAAACAACATCCAACATGAAACGTGCGTGTTGTTGCTATACTTTGCATACAACTACCGCGGCAATTTGCCCCCGACAGAGAGAAACATACAAAATAGCGAGAAAGGTAGAAGGAGGGAGGGCGGAGGGGCAGAAATAACAGCTTTGTGATATCCGCCGCCGTGCCTTTCGCAGCTTAATCTGCTAATGTGTTTTCTTGGGCTTGCTAAAGATGTTTATTTTGTCTGCGAAAGATTTGGGCGGCCTACTTCGCGTTATGCCACTGGGGCGATCGTCACGGCGGGCATGCGCGATTTGCGTTTTTTTTGTTGGTGGGCGGGTGGGTTGCCGAACGCGTTTCTAACGCAGCTGAATTTGCGCAGGCCGACATCTTACGCATGTGAAATTCGTCATGCTGATTCTTCAGCAGATCAATTGCATCTCCGGAAGACTTACGCAGATGAAAATTCTAACGCAACCTCCGGAAGATTTACGCAGACCGACCCTCAGGGCAGGGACCACTAGGCGACCGTTTTCCCAGGAGCTTGTTTCCTGGCCAGATGAGGGGACTTGCCCGGTTCCTCTGGGCGATCTCCTCAGCGCTGGCGATTGTGAATGGATCGGTCGTGCCCACGAGAACTTGCTAAGGCCCTCTGAGGAGGCTCGAAGTTTGATTCGGGAAGCTTGTCCATTGGGGCCTTATGTGGATCCGCTTCTCAGCTCGTCTCCTGCTCGGTACGCTGCGTTCGTTCGTAAGCTTGTCGACCGGGGGATGGCCACTTTGAAGCTCGCCACTGGCCGCCCCAGCAAGGTTGGTGTTTTCTTCGTTGCGAAAAAGTCGGGTAAGCTCAGGCTTATTTTCGATGCCCGTGTTGCCAATTGTTTTTTAGACCCCTCCTGCCACCCGTCTTCCCACCGCAACGGCCCTTGGGTCTGTTGAGTCCCTGGGGTCCGACGTTTTTGTTGGATCAGGTGACATTGACAATTGCTTTTACCGCATGGGCCTGCCGGCAGAGCTTCAGGATTTTTTCGCCCCCCCCCTATCGATGCCGGAGTTGCTGGGCTTACAGAGGTTGAAGGCCACAAGGTGGGTCCAGGGACCGCGCTCGAACCCGTGCTCACAATCCTCCCCATGGGGTGGAGTTGGGCTATGCACATCGCCCAGTCCGTGCTGATGAATGCCCTGGGCGACGCCGGCATCGATGGGTCGAACCTTGTCGTGGACGGCAACCCGGCCTCCCCGATCGACGATTTCACGAGTGTGCGAGTCGCAGGCTACGTCGACAACTTCGTTGTCCTCGGCGCCAGAGCCCCGACGCTGTGGACTCGACCGTGTCCCGAATTCGCCCCACCCTCGAAGCCGAGGGCCTCGTCGTCCACGAGCTGGAGCCCGCCTCGAAGGACGCGTCCTTCCTGGGGTTGGAGCTTAATTCGGGCCAGAGGCTCTCTTTCCGCCGACGAGGTCTCTGGAGACTACGGCTGGCATTGGAAGAGATCCTCAGGCGCGGGCACGCCAGCGGATCTCTTCTGCAGGTGGTGGTCGGACATATTACTTGGGCTGCGTTACTTCGGAGGGAGGCCCTCAGTTTTCTAGATGACGTCTATGCCTATATCGAGAAAAACAAGGGTGACGTTGTCGACCTTTGGCCTGGCGTTCGCAAAGAGCTTTGGAGATTACGATGTGTCCTCCCGCTCTTTACAGTTGAGTGGGGTGCCGAGTGGCACGACCAGGTGCACGCCTCTGATGCTTCCCCATTTGGCCTTGGGGCCTCTGTCCGGCGTGTCTGTCCTCGCGATGCTGGCGCAGTTGGGAGATTGTGCGAGCGGTGGAGATACAAAGTCGAAGAGCATTGTCGCCCTCGGGAGGCTGCCCTCGCCGTCTCGTCTGCCCCTCCCGGTCTCCGATCCCCCAGTGGTGGCAGCGCTGCCTGTTCCAGAGGCCCCGTTTACTTGGAGGAAGCGGCCCGGCGTTTCGACGAGGTCCCTGAGGAGCTCATGGACCCCGACAGTTGGGCCCACATCGCGGCCTGCCAGGTATCCGTCGGCACCAACATCTTAGCCCTGGAAGGGGAGGCCCTCGTCCTCGCCATACGCCACGCTTTACGCAGCAACTGCGCCCTTGGTCGTCGTCTTTTGTTCATCGTCGATAATCTTTCGTTGGCCCTGGGGGCCACCAAGGGTCGTGCCAGATCGAAGTTCCTCAAGCCCTGCGTGACGAAGCTCGCCTGTCTGTCCCTGGTCACTGGGTGTCGGTTTATTGTCAGATGGGTGCCCACTGAGAGAAACGTGAGTGATGCCCCTTCGAGGGGGAGGCTTGGCTGGTTTACTGGGTCCCGAGCTATCAGACGCTATCCTTCGTCTTCCATATCGGCTCACAGGGCCCCCCGTTTGGGGGCCCCGCCTGGGCCCCCTCGGCCCAGCTCGCTACCCGTGCCAGCCGCAGCAGATGCCCCGCGCCCGCCCGGCATTTGGGCGGCTGCAGGCGGCGGGCAGATCGGGGAGCAGGTCTACCTTCCTGAAGGCCCTCAGCGTCTCGGCGGCTTCGGCAGCGGTGCGGGGGCGGCCCCCGCTTGGGGCGCTCTCCTCTCTGGAGCGGCCTGCCATCCGTCCCACCACGGACACCCTCTACAGGTCGATGCTGAAGGGGCTCCATGGCTACCGCCTAGGGCCGGCGCTGCGCCGGCACGACGGGCCCACCCTCGACGGCCTCCTGGGCGTTTCCTTCAACGACCTGTACTGGAAGGGGCTGGGAACCGACGTCGGCAGCGGCATGCTGGCGGCTCAGGCGCCCTTCCTGCCGGGGCAGGGGCGCCCAGGGGCCACTCTGCCCCCTCGAGCCTCTCGGGCGATGCTGGGCCGGAGGCGCCGTACCGCACCGCTCACGCGGTTGCCCCTGCCGAGGGCGGCCATGGGCGCGATCGTCGGCTACCCAGTCCACCGCGGCCTCCTGCGGGCTGCCCTGCTCACCGCCTTCGCCCTCGCGTGCTACCTGAAGCCGCAGGAGATGTTGCAAGTGCGAGCTCGTCACCTCATTGCCCCCGCGGTGATGGCGGGGCCCGAGTACCAGTGCTGGCCCATCCTTCGGCACGACTCCACCCTCCTGCGGGCGGGGAAGGCTGGAGTGCACGACGGCGGGGTGGTCATCGACATGGGCGCGTGGCTGTGCCCTGCGCTGGCCTGCTCGCAGGCGACGCTGAAGCCGGACGACCTCATCCTGGACCTGAGCTTCGTGGATCTGCGCAGCGGCAGCGGCCCGCCCGCGGACGCGCCGCCCCTCGCTGTGGCGGCGCTGACGCACGGGCTGCCCGTGCCGCCGTCTGCGTGCACGGAGGTGCCCCACGGCGCCAGGAGGTGATCTACCACCTCAAGGGCGCCCTGGCCTCCGAGCTGCGCCTAGCGGTCCGCCTCCGCCGTTTCGCCTTCCTGGAGCCGTTCGCAGGTTCAGGCCAGATCGGTGGGGCCCTCAGGGCTGCAGGGTACGCTTGTGTGTCTCTTGACGTCAACAACGGGCCCCTGGAGGACCATCTCAGTCCGGCTTTTCGGAGTACTATTCGTGGGTGGCTCCAGGGTAGGGTGATCTTGGGCGTCTGGTTGGGTACTCCGTGCACTACGTGGTCTCGGGCTCTGCGAAAGCCTCTCAGGTCCATCCAGGCCCCGATGGGCCTTGCAGACCTCACCGAGTCGGAGCTCGCTAGGCTTCAAGTGGGAAGCGACACTTTCGAGCTCTCCGTAAACGTCATCAAGACCTGCGTCCGTCTTGGAATCCCAGTGTACCTCGAGAACCCCGCGTCCTCCGTCATGTGGCATGCCCCCTTACTGGGCCCTCTCCTCGATCATCCTGAGTGCCATGTTCACCTACTGGATATGTGTCGCTTTGGGGCTCCCTGGCGAAAGAAGACCAGAATTGCGATGTGGGGAGCTGGATTCCACTCGTGTATTCATCAACGGTGTACTGGACAGAAGGGCCTGTGCTCGGTCACCGGCAAGCCTCACCTGATACTCGAAGGCGTGGACCCTGCCCCCGGACGTAAAAGGACAGCCACTGCCGCCTCGTATCCCAAAGTGCTCTCCAGAACGCTTGCGCGTACCCTCCGCCTTGTGGCTGAAAACAACCGTAGCCTCAATAAGCATTCCTGGGCATTGGGGGTCAAGCCTGCCGATTTTCCCCTGCAGGCTAAAGTATAGAGTGTGTTTGAATCCGGTTACTGTTAGTTCGGCCTAGGGGCCAGTCCCACCTTTCGGGCTCGGGCCGTGCGAAACCGTCGGTCTCGTGTCATCCTTTCAGTCTCGTCAGTGTGGCGGCTCCTCGCTCGCCGTCTGAGCTCGCCGTTCCGCCGGGTGGACCACGCAGAAGAAAAAGGTGGCAGGTCTTTGAGGTCCCCTTTTCCTGGCACACGGGGGGGAATGGCGGAGCTGTCCTCTTTTCAAAGTAGAAGCAATAGCCAGCTGACGAGTGTGCCGTAAGTCGGTTTCTGGTTCAAGCTCTCCCTCCCTCCCTCCCTCGCTTCCCCCTTCTCATATTCAAAGTCAGGGCCGTGCGAAACCGTCGGTCTCGTTTCATCCTTTCAGTCTCGTCAGTGTGGCGGCTCCTCGCTCGCCGTCTGAGCTCGCCGTTCCGCCGGGTGGACCACGCAGAAGAAAAAGGTGGCAGGTCTTTGAGGCCCCCTTTTCCTGGCACACGGGGGGAATGGCGGAGCTAGATATACATCTTGATAGATATGTATATATATATATACACGTACAAGCTGAGGTAGACAGATACACAGGTCGATCGATAGACATACAGACAAATAGATAGGCAGGCAATGGCAGTGCACTAGGGTGTGTTTTTATTCGAGTGCGCAGCCGTTAGAGCATGCGCCACCAAACTGGGCACGGGCGTTTGGCATAGAAGTGGGCACGCAACCAAGTAACACTGGCATCGCGCTATTGTGCACCAGCATGTATGTAAAAAACCATCGTGTAACATGGCCATCACCGTGACACCATCCCGCCATCACCACCACCATCACCATCACCGCCACCACCACCATGACGATTCACCATCATCATCAACATTTCCAGGTATATATATCACGGGGGGCAGGCCCGGGGCCCGAAAACAGCTGCCTCGACCCTCCATGGGAGTACCGGGGCTCATTTTTCAGTGTTTTTAGAGGTTTCGGCGCCCTGGGCCTCGGAGGCCGCCGCGATGGTCCCAGACATTTTCCAGATCCTCGGCGCGGGCTTCAGGACCATTCCGCAGAGGGCTCCAACATGCTCCAGGGCAGCCCAAGAGGGCTCCAAGACGGCTCCAGGAACGACTGCAGGCTCTCATTTTTCTGGTGTTTTCTGCAAGACGGTTCCAGGAAGACCGCATGTCTTATGAGGATGGCTTCCGCCTCTTGCCCCGAGCATCCCAAACTGCCTGAACGGTTCCCACTCGCCTTCCCCGAACCCAGCGCTTGCCCAAGCGCGTTCTGGACGGTCTTCGCCAGAACGCGCTGGAATGATCTTGCGCTGCAGTTGCCCCCTGCCAACGTCCTCGGACGTGGGCGCCCTGCCACGAGCGCGTTCTGGGAAGATGCTCTCGGAACGCGCTGAAAAGATATGGCCACATCTCGGGGACGCTCCCGGCACTGCTCCCCCAGCCTTTCCGGGGAGCCTCCACAGCGCTCCAGGAGGGCCCAAGACGCCCCCCAGGAGCCCCCAGAATGCGAAAGAATGGCCCAAGACGCTCCCGAGCAGCCCAAGTCAGCCTTCCGACGGCTCTCGAGGCTACCAGGTGGCCTCCAAGAGACCCCAAGAAGTCTGATAGGGATCACAGTACGGCCCGAAGAGGCCAAAGTCGTATATGTTCAATGGTCTTTTCAATGTTTTTGGCTTCTCGCGTTTTCGAGCTTCCAACGGTCCAAGAGCGCCGAAGAGCCTCCCAAGACCGCCCCAAGACCACCCAAGAGACCCTCAGGACGGCCCCAAGACGGGCCAAGAAGGCTCCAAGACTGCCGAAGAGGCGCCCAGCACAGCCCCAGACCACCCCAGAACAGGTCCAAGATGGGCCCAAGAGCGGGAGCAGGAGGCTTCCAGAGAACTCCGAGAGGCCTCCGGGACCCCCCCTGAGGCCCCCGACACCCCCCCGATCCTTGAGAGGCCCCAAAGAGACCCCGACGAGGCTCCAAGAACAGCCCAAGAGAGCTGCGAGAGCCGTCCCGAGAGAGCCCAAAGAAGGTCAAATCGTTGATGTCCCATGGTTTTTCCTATGTGTTTCGCCTTCTCACGTTTTCCCGCTTCCAGCCCTCAAAGATAGAGGATTTGTGAAAAAAGAGAAGGAATTCCAAGAATGTTTTTTTCATCAAAGTGGAACTCCTACTCGGGGGTCCTACATATCCCCTGACATCTGGCCAGTACCGCGCCTCCCGGCTTCTTCACGTTTTCGCGGAGTCTCCGAAGGCCCCAAGGAATCCGGGAATTGTGGATTTGGGTTAGATGCTCATCCATTCAGGACTCAGGACAGAAATTCATTCGCGAACCAAGCATGTCCATCTCTCGTTCAAGTGCCGTGTGGGATAAGTAATGCTGGGGTATTTAATTGCATGGCGCTGCAGCCAAGGGTAGCAGCGCCTTTCACGCAGCAGTATCCAGCGAGCTGCAGCCCAAGGTAGCAGCTCATGTGCAGCGCTGGCCGCTGTATCCCAGGCACTTTCTACTCAGAGCAAGCGACGCCCGCTGGCCGCCAAAATGGCCCCTTAGTGGTCCAAGACGCTCCAAGATGCTTCAAGGCGGGCCACAAGATGCCCCAGTGGAACTCCCAAAGGCCCTCCCAAATGGCCCCAGAGAGCCACAAACGCAAAAACCGTTCAGGTTTCTCTATATTCAGCAAAGCTCACGCTCGTCTCCTTCGGATGACTTCGGGAGAGCTTCACATGGCGCCGAGGCTCGAGACGGCCCCACAACTTCGAAGAAGAGCCCAAGAGGGGCCCAAGCGGGCCCCAAGGCCTTCAAGGCAGGCCAAACATCAAGATCCACAGAAGACCCGTACATTTCAAGCCAGCCCGTTTCATATTGAATATCTTCCCACGCCGGCCCTGAACAGTTCGAAACCGCTGCATAATACCAAGCAAGAGGAGGCCGTCGATAAGAACGAGAAACGAAAAGCAAGGACAACCGAGAGAGTCTGGAGGGTTAACGAGGAAGGACATGTAAGGAATATTGGAGAACGAGGTAAAGCAAGGCATGGAGTGAACATGTCCGAAAAGCACGCGCGGCTAATAACGCCATGGCATGCGCTAGAACCAATATGAATCAATGCCGCCCCCCCTGGCCCTGGGTCCCACACCTCCCCGCCACATCTCGGGGACGCTCCCGGTACCGCTCCCCCGGCCTTTCCGGGGAGCCTCCACAGCGTCCCAGGAGGGCCCAAGACGCCTCCCAGAAGCCCCCAGAATTCGGAAGAATGGGCCAAGACGCTCCCGAGCAGCCCAAGTCAGCCTTCCGACGGCTCCCGTGGCTCCCAGGTGGCCTCCAAGAGACCCCAAGAGAGGTCCGAGAGGTGTCCCAGGACGGAACGAAGAGGCCCAAATCGTAGATGTTCAATGTTTTTTTCAGTTGTTTTTGACTTCTCGCGTTTTCGAGCTTCCATTGGTCCAAGAGCGCCGAAGAGGCTTCCAAGACCGCCCCAACACCACCCAAGAGACCCTCAGGACGGCCCCAAGACGGGCCAAGAAGGCTCCAAGACTGCCGGAGAGGCGCCCAGCACAGCCCCAGACCGCCCCAGAACAGGTCCAAGATGGGCCCAAGAGCGGGAGCAGGAGGCTTCCAGAGAACTCCGAGAGGCCTCCGGGACCCCCAGAGGCCCCCATCACACCCCCGATCCTTGAGAGGCCCCAAAGAGACCCCGACGAGGATCCAAGAACAGCCCAAGAGAGCTACTGTCCCGAGAGAGCCCAAAGAGGGTAAAGTCGTTGATTTCCAATGGTTTTTCCTGTGTTTTTCGCCTTCTCACGTTTTCCCGCTCCCAGCCCTCGAAGATGGTGGAATTTGAACAAAAAACGGAATTCCCAGAATTCCATAAAGAAATAGGATTCCTATTCGGGGGTCCCGCACATCTCCTGACATCTGGCCGATACCGCGCCTCCCGGCTTCCCGGGGGGAGACCCCAAGACGCCGAAGGACAGCCCATGACGACCTCAAGGTGCCCCCTGAACGTAAAGAACGGCCCAACACGCTCCCGAGCAGCCCGAGACACCCTTGCGGCGGCTCTCCAGGCCTCCAGGAGGCTTCCAGAAGCTCCAGGGGGTCCGGAAGATCCCACACCCCTCAGGGGCCCAGCTAACAAAACCCGCGAGGCACAAACAAAAAACAGCGCCGAACAGCGCCGAGGAACTGGAAAAGCATGGAAATCCCACAATACTTTTTTAAAAGTTTGGCCCCCGGTCTACTCTTGCACAACAGACCACAATTCAGACCCCCCTCACCTTCCAAAAAAGAACCCAGGAAGCCTTTGAGGGCCCCAAATCGTTGAATACGTAAAGCAAATTCATGATTTCTGCGTTTCCGCATCCCCTTCTTTACGATTCCGAGGCTTGAGCAGAGCCTCAAAGGGAGTCCCTGGACGCAAGAAGCGACCAAAATGAGATTGCATGAGTTAGCTTATCAAGCCTAGCTAGAACTTGAGCGCGCGCGAAGCGCGCGCGCGATGGTTCTAGCGTGGGCCCCCGGTCCCCAGAGCCCTCAGAGAACCCCGAAACGGCTCCGGAGGGCCCCCAGAAGGGCCCGAAACGGCACCAGAGCTCCCCAGAAGAGTTCCGAGACGGCCCATGGAGGCCCCGAGACGACCCAAGACGGCTTTCAGGCGGTCCAAGATGTTCTCCAGACGGCCCCATGAGCCCCAAAACGCCCCTGGACGGCTCCAGGCGGGTCCAAGGGGTCCCCCGAAAGGGCTCCATCAAGCAAAAATCGTCATAGTCCCTTCGAAGAATTGACATTTTCAGCAGATTCGGCTTATTACCAAGAGGACCCCACGAGAGGCCCAAGAGGGGCCCAGGACAGCCCCGAGACGGCCTATGGAGGCCCCGATACGACCTCAGGCGGCCCAAGATGCTCTCCAGACGGCCCCATGAGCCCCAAAGACGCCCCCGGACGGTTCCAGGCGGGTCCAAGGGGTACCTCGAAAGGGTTCCTTCAAGCTAAAGTCGTCACATTCCTTTTGGAAAATTGTCATTTTCAGCAGATTCGGCTTATTGCTTTTCGAAGCGTCCACAACGGCCCCAGAGGCTTCCAAGATCGCCCAAGACGGCCCCCAAGAGGGCCCAAAGATGGCTCCAGACGGGCCCAGGACGACCCAAGAGGCGCCCAAGACGACCCAAGAGGACCCCACGAGAGGCCCAAGAGGGGCTCAGGACAGCCCACGATGGCCCCAAGACGGCCCGATAGGCGCCCAAGATGGCCCAAGACGGCCCCAAGACGGCCCACGAGGCGCCCTGCCGGCCCTAGAGGGCTCCGAGAAGCCCCCGAGGAGCCCAAAACAGCCCCCATAGAGCTACCAAACGGCTCCCAAGAAGCTTCAAAATTGCTTCCAACCGAGGGGGGCTGACGAGAGGCGAGAGGCCCCTCGCAGGCGCAAAACACAAAAATGTTTTGACGCTCCGGTGACCCTGGGGCTGCCCCGCTGCGCTCCCTACTTTGCCACGACGCCGTTCCGACGCCTCCGACGCGGCCCGAGACGGCGCCGCGTTTGCCCGAGCCCACTCCCGCGTTCGCCGCGATCCCAGCGCAAATCTTCCAACGTTGTTCAGGCCTGGACTCCTGAATTTCTGCCTCTTGCGAAGCTCGAACACTGCGGCCCCCGTTTCGATGCATTGGGCGCCTTCGGTGGGAAAACATCACTAGAACAATCTTCAAGGGATCTACGGCAGTAGCTGGCAGCGTCGCACCACCCAGCGCGCGCCACGATGCTTCGATCCGCCCCACTACGTGGATTGAATCCACGGTCCACACTATATATATATATATATATATATGAGTCCCAGCACGCACCATGAACCCCCCTTTTCTCTTGGAAGATGCCGAGAGGAAATCGGGGCGGAAGGCGCGCGCTGCAACCGTAAAGGACGAAGTGTGGCAGAAAGGTTGGTTGTGTGATGGAGAAGACAGGTGTGGAGTATCGGGTGGAGTGTTGGGGACGGAGGGTGTGGAGTACCGGATGGTGTGTAGGAGACGGAGGGAGTGGAGTACAAGGTTATTTTCAAGTTCAGCTTGGGGAGGGAGCCTGTTGAGTATCGGGTGGTGTGTTGGAGACGGAGGGTGTTGAGTACTGGATGGTGTGTTGAAGACGGAGGGAGTTGAGTAGAAGGTTATTTTCAAGTTCAGCTTGGGGAGGGAGCCTGTTGGGTATCGGGTGGTGTGTTGGAGACGGAGGGAGTTGAGTACTGGATGGTGTGTTGAAGACGGAGGGAGTTGAGTAGAAGGTTATTTTCAAGTTCAGCTTGGGGAGGGAGCCTGTTGAGTATCGGGTGGTGTGTTGGAGACGGAGGGTGGTGAGTATTGGATGGTGTGCTGGAGACGGGGGGAGTTGAGTAGAAGGGTATTTGCAAGTTCTGCTTGGGGAGGGAGCCTGTTGAGTACTGGATGGTGTGTAGGGAGACGGAGGGAGTTGAGTAGAAGGGTATTTTCAAGTTCAGCTTGGGGAGGGAGCCTGTTGACTATCGGGTGGTGTGTTGGAGACGGAGGGTGTTGAGTACTGGATGGTGTGTTGGAGACGGAGGGAGTTGAGTAGAAGGTTATTGTCAAGTTCTAAATGAGTTGAGAAAGTCTGCCGAAAATGAGCCTCAAAGGAGGAGGAGGAGGAGGAGGTTTAGGACCAGTCCCATTCGCCGCCGTGTGAAAAGGAGGGGACCAAAACAAAATACTTCACGGGGTTAGTACTAGAGCTTGTACGGCAAAAGGACGAGCAGCGACGCCAAGCCGCACAGAGTTGGACAGAAACTCCTACAAATCCTCCTCCTGTGCTGGCTGCCGCGCCTGTTGCACCCCCCCTTCGCATTCGACGGCGACAACAGGGCATGTTCTATCTGTCCCGGGGCCTTCGTACATTGCGATGGGTAGTGCGCCTACAACGCCGCCACATCTCGCGCCAGGCCTGCCGCTCGCAGCTGAAACAGAACACCGGCACTGACATGGTGGACTGCCCGGCTCTGCCCGTCTCCCGAAAGCCCGGCGTGCCGAGGCCCAGCCGACGTCATCGCCGACTTCAGTTTATTTCTGCTGATCGTGCTCCGGCGGGCCCGCTGACAACGTCGTCGGCCCGCGCGGCAGACCTTGGTCTTGCGTGTCCGGCACCAATGGTGCGTGTCTGGCACAAATGGTGCCTGCAGGCTTGGCCGCTCTCGCACCGCTGGGCGCGTGCCTACGGGCGGCCCCGCGCTCTGGACTCGCCCTCAGAGGTATCGACGTTGTGGTCAGCGTGGTGGCCCCCGACTACCGCGGAGAGATCAATATAAAAATGGCCCACTCTCTCCCGCGGCCCCACGTTGTCGAGCAAGGCCAGCGAATCGCCCAGCTCATCCTTGAGCGCATCATCGACGATGCTGAGGTCGTGGTCGTTCACGACTTTCCTCCGACCTCTCATGGATCGAAAGGCTTCAGACACATCGGTACGACGCACATCAGTTCCAATTCGATCCAGAGGCTGGGGGACAGCTCAGCATCCGCAGGGTTTCTCGGTAACTACGTTGCCGAGCACTCCAAGGGGCTGCCCCGCTAGGAGTAGAGCGGGTCAGCTCACGAGGCTGGCCCAGCCGACCTGCCCTGGCAAAAGCGGGCAGCAGGGCCAGATCGCCCCGCCTGGGTCCTGGAGAGAGGACGGGACACATCACTAGCACTGAAAAACCTCGGCTACGACGTCGTACGCACCACATCCTACGAGGACGCCGTCAGGTCAGCGCCCGACGGCGCGCTTCCCAGCACAAGCCACAGCATGCCGTGGATCAAGCGCGGTGCGAGCTGGGGCGGAGTGCGCCGACTCCTCGACTTCCTTCCCAACTGGTGCGCCTGGGTCAACGACGCTGGCGTCAGAGTCGTGATCTTCGGCCTGCGCGGACCTCAGTGGAGACGCCCAGCCTCGGAACAGATGTCTGACACCAGCGTGCTGTACTCCAGCAATCACCGGGCCCTTCATGAGCCTCTGGCCCCAGAGGCCAAACACAGCGGCGTAGCCTTCACGATGCTGGCCGGTTCGCTCATTCTCAACCACTTGCGCCGGTGCAGCACGCCGGCGATTGGGTCACCGCGACTAGACACGCATACCTGGGCCTGATGTGCCACGACGCGTTACGTCTTGCGCCCTTTTGCAGATGTACTTCAACGAGCAGCAACGCACCGCGGAAGGTGCGCTTTCGTCGAGGCACAGCAGCAGCTTTAGCACCAGCCTCGATCACCATTTCCTGTTCTATGGCGACTGTCAAGCGCGACTCCGAGCTGCGCGCTCAGGACGACCAGAACGGTCAACCGCGGGAGATGCAGCTGGGGGGCCTGTTGCACCAGACAGCCGGGGGCCCAGGTGTACCAAACAATCGGGGCCCAGTTGTGCCAAACGGATGGGGGGCCCAGTTGCGCCAGAAATGCCCAGGGGCCGAGTTGTGCCGCGCGCGTGCGCCTGACAGCTGACAACGATGTCGCAAGCGCCCGCTTGGCAGCTGAACGAAAGGTGTCTGGCGACTGCGTCGTCGGCGCCTGCCCCGCGGCAGAGCGGGCGCGCCAGAACGCGAGGATAAAGGGGGGCCACGCGCCCAAAGCACGGAAGCACGTCGTGGAGGACCGCTGCGACGACTGCTGCACCGACCTCGCAAGTCTGGCCCCGCATCCTCTTGGTTTCCCAGCCACGGCGAGCCGGGCCGAGCTGGCGAGTGCGACGACGACCACGATTTCCACGGCGGCTTCGCTTCAGGCTTGCCGACGCCGTGGTTGCAGGGCTCGTCGGCCCCTGCAACATATCCGAGTGCTCAAACGTCACAGCCTGCCAAATTCGATGACATTCACAACCTCCGAGGAGGAGGAGGAGGAGGAGGAGGAGGAGGAGGAGGAGGAGGAAGGGTGGGGCCAGCCCCCACCCGCGCGACGCCAACCGCCAGGGGACATTCAGGGCGGCCACCTCCCCCCCCCCCCGCGCGGGGTGCAGGGCGGCGATGGGGCGGAGGAGCCCGCCCCTGCGCCTCCTCGCGCCCCCGCATGCCTTACCGGGGGATTCCCGGTGGCCCGAGGCGTGACGAGCAGCTCTCGTGGGTGGGCCGCGGGGGGGGCCTTCGCCGCCGCCACCGCCATGCTCCTCCCCCTGCCCCTCCTCCCCGTGCTCCTCCTCCTGCTCCTCCTCTTCCTCCTCGTCGTCGTCGTCCTCCTCCTCCTCCTCCCTCTCATCCTCGCCCTGCTCCCCCTGCCCCTCCTCCTCCTCCTCCTCCTCCTCCTCGTCCTCTTCCTCCTCGTCCTCCTCCTCCTCCTCCTCCTCATCCTACTCCCCCTCCTCCTCCTCCTCCTCCTCCTTCTCCTTCTCGTCTCTTGGGGCATACGCAAGGGAGGCCCAGCTCTAACGGGGGTCAGCGAATCCCCTCGTAGTACTCGCCTGTTCGGGGTTCACGACATGGCCTTGGCTGGCCCGGGTTATCGCTGACCCGGGTCAGTGCGTCCTCGACTCCCCCTCCTCATCTTCTGAACGACACGCAGGAACCTCGCGAGGATTTGCACGTGCAGCCGCTACCGTCTGCTGCCGACTTGGACGTTCCCCGAACGCTTATGTATTCATTCATTCATGCGGCACCCCCTTTCCCCAGCCTCCGGCGATTGTTTTTTTTCAATCCTGGCGTTGTTCCACGATCGTGCCCAGGAACATCCAACAATTTTCCAGGGTGAAAACTATTCCTGGAGAAGAAAGAGGGTCGCGAACCGAGAAAGCACATCGTCGGATTCCTGGGTCCTCCTCCTCTTTTCGGCGGCGAGCTAGCTCGTGGGGAAGGGAGACTGGGCAGGCCTTTTCCAGAAGGCGGCGGGGCTTTTAAGAAGCAATCCGGCCTTTGAGAAGCCGTCTCTGCCTTCGGAAAGGCCTGCTTTCAATACTTCTCGGAAAGCGCGATGGTTTCTCAGAAGCCCCGCCGCCTTCTAAGAAGTCCTGCTTCCTCTCTCTCTCATTATTTCCCCTGGGACTGGCGCTTTGCCCCATTTTAGGATCGGCGCTTTGCCCCCTTTGTTCAGAATGGCACTCTCACCCCAGGGCGGGTCACGCGTCTGGATCCGAGTCCTTCATCGTTGTCGCCCTCCTCTTTTCCCCTCCGCTTTCCCCTGGTCTTTTGCTCCTCCTCCTCCTCCTCCTCCTCCTCCTCTTCCTCCAGCTGGCAGCGGGGCCCCGGAGACCCTGAGTCCGGGGGGGCCTCCGGGGCGCTCGGCGCGCGCGCGGCGCGGGCCCTTTCCCGCAGCCCCCCGCCGCGCCGCGCTCGCCCTCTCTGAGCTCGGCCACGAGCGCGGCGGCAAGGTAGGGCTCCGCGGCGACACCTCCCGGACGGGCAACGGGCAACGGGGTTCGGTAAAGCCCGGTCCTCGTTCGGATAGCCGCCCTGCCCCTCCAGGTTGGGTCGCCCGCCAGAGTCAGCCCCCCAGCGATGGGCCAGCGCCCCTGCGGCGGCCGCAGCGCCGTCGCGGTCGCCTGCTGCGCCTGGCCGCGCGCCCCCTGGCCGGCGCGCCAGCCAGCTCTCGGCCCTGGCCCGCTCCCTGCGTGCCCCAGGCAGCTCCCTGGCCAGCGCCCTGGGCAGCCCAGCGCCCGGTCGGGCAGTGCGCCGGAGGCCCGCGCCTGGCCGCCGCTGCAGCGGCTCCCTCGGCGCTTCCTGCCCCAGTGCAGCGCCGCGCCAGCCGCCCCCCCGCGCCCAGCGGCCGCGCCTGCGCCGCCAGGGCCCTGTCTCCCGCAGCCAGGGCGTGCCGCCGCGCTCAGTCAGCCCAGCCCAGTCTGGCGCGGCGCCCGGGCGGGCCTGGGCCGCCGGGGTCGGCCAGGCGTCGCGCCGCGCCAGCGGGCAAGGCGGCCGTGCGGTAGGCCTCCGCGCTGCCGCGCTGCAGGACGGCGGCCAGGCACTGGCGAGCTGCCGTCAGCGTCGCCGGGTTGCCCGCTGCCCAGGTTCGCAAGAGTGCCTGCGCCTCCTTCCCGGCTCGCCCGTGCGTTTCCAAAGCAAAAGCGACCAGGGCTGGGCCTGGGTAGCGCCTGTGTTTGCGCGTCCCCGCCTTGCGCGTCCCCGCCGCCGCCGCCGCGGCCCCGTCGCGCACGGCGCGGCTCCGTCCAGCGGTCGTGCCCGCGCCCAGAGACGCGTCGGTGATCACCATGTCGGCGTAGGTGGCCCCCGTGACCGAGTCGGTGAAGGCGACGTCCAGCCAGGCGGCCTCGAGGGTGCCGTCGTGGCGCAGTCTGTCCAACGGCTGGGGCGAGTTGCTCCGTCCTCACGCCCGTGGCGCCCCGCGCCGCCAGCCAGCGGGCGAGCCAATCCCGGACGCCGTCGTGCTTCAGCGCAGTGCCGCCCCCGACTGGGCAACCCAGGGGATGCCCAGGGTCCGCGCGCAGGTCGGCCCCGCAGCAGGAGCTGTCGGGGCGGCGCCGGAGGCAGGTGGCGCTGGCACCCGTCGGTAACGGCAAACGGAGCCGCAGGGCCACCGCAGGGCGGAAGTGCTTGTCCGCGAGGACGTGGTCTGGCTCCGTGGGCGGAAGTTACTTCCGCCCACGGAGCCAGACCACGTCTCCCCGCGCCCTTTCCGCTGGCAGATTGGAGGCTCGCCTGCTCGGCTGGCGGCATGGAGACGAGCAAGTGGGCGCGGCGCCGCTCCTGCGCCAGCCTCGCGAGGCGTCGCTGCGCTTTCTCCTCGCGTTCCGTCGCGGCGCCTTCTCCTGCAATGTACGCAGCTCAATGTTTCCGATTGCGCAAGGCACGATCTGGGCCATTTTTGGAATTCCAGGTCCGCTATGACACGCGTCCGCGGATAGAGAAAAAACAGCGCCACGGGAAGGGATGGCTGGGAAGGCTAGATCTGGCGCGAGCGCACCTAGATTGCCTCTCGCCTTTTCCCTCTCTCCTCTCCATCTCGCCGCGAAGAAGAATGGGGTCCTGAAGAGAGGGGGTTCAGAGGGAGGGGTGTTTGTCCCCCTGCTTTCGCCCTCCTGGAACCCTTCCCTTGCGGCCCCCCGGACCGTTGGCAAACGACGCAGGATGACAAGCCCGTTCGAGACTCACGACCCAGGATGAACAATTGGTGTCCAGGATCCGTCGCTTTCGGGGCCCACCGCTCTCACGCCAACCCTCCTCCCACTCCCTTGGAGAGGTGCGACCAGCAGCCAGTAGCGTTTTGCTTTGCAGCGCGCCGCATGCTCGTAGGCACGATGCCCGTGCGTTCAAGGTCTCCGCGAGTGGCGGTATCACTAGGAGGTGCCATCGCGTACCTTCAGGCAGGCCCGTGCTTCGACCGCTCAAGACAGACTTGTATCGGTTCTCGCTTCTCACCCACTTCGCTGGCCGCCAGCGCGCACCAGCCATCGCGATGCCGTGGTATCGAAGACGCCTACGGCGAATCACCGCCGCCCCCTGCCTTTGTGGAAGCGCCTATGTGGCCGAACGTTGAGGCCAGACCTGCCAAGCTATCGGACCATGTGTTCTCCGAATCGGTTTGGAAAGCCTTCGGGGAACACGTGGGCATCTTGAAGGTCATCTTGGCCGCCTGGAAGCCATTTTGACCCTTTCAGGCCTTCTTGGAGGACGTCTTGGAGGGCTCGTGGGCCGTCTTGGAGGCCATCTCGAGCGTCTTGGAGGCCTTTTGCGCCGTCTTGGGGGCCTCTTGGGGCCGTCTTGGGCGCCTCTTGGGCCGTTCTGGGGCCATCTTGGAGGCCTCTTGGGCGATCCTTGGGCGATCTTTGGGAGCTCTTGGGCCGTATCGGGACGTCGGAAGGCCGAAACAAAGCAAATGTCACAATCCTGCAAAAGCCTACGGAAAATACATATTTTTGGCCTCTTCTGGCCTTCCTGGAGGCCCTCTTGAAGGCCTCTTGGGCCGTCTTGGGCCAGCTGCGAGCCACCTTCGGTCATCTTGGTGGGCTCCTGGCCCGTCTGACGCCGTCGGAGGCCGTTTCGGGGGCCTTTCTGGGCCGACTTGGGCCCCTGTTGGGGTGCTCCAGGGCCGTCTTGGAGGCCCATTTTGGGCGTCTTGGAGGCCTCTTGGGCAATCTTCGGGCCCTTTGGGGGCGGTCTTGGGGGCGTCATGGGCCGTCATGGGGCCCTTTTGGAGGCCTCTTGGGCGATCTTGGAGCGATCTTGGGAGGCTCTTGGGCCGTCTTGGGCCGTCGGAAAGCCGAAAAGGCGCCAATGCCAAAATCCTTGAACAACCTACGGGAAATCAATGATTTTGGCCCTTTCAGGCCTTCCTGGAGGACGTCTTGGAGGGCTCTTGGGCCGTCTTGGAGGCCTCTTGCGGGCCTTTTGGGCCGTCGTAGACCATCTTGAGGCCATCTTGGGCCGTCTTGGAGGCATCTTGGGGCCATCTTAGCTGTCTTGGAGGCAATCTTGGGCCGTCTTGGAGACGTCTTGGAGACCATCCTGGGCCATTTTGGCCGTCTTGGACGCCATTTTGGGCCAACTGGAGGAAACAGGGGCGCGACGGATGCGTTTTGAGCGCCTTGCCGGGTGGCCGGCGGGGCGCGCCGGAGCCCCAGGGGGAGTTTTTTGGAAAAAGAACCAAAACCGAGAGGGTCTAACACGCCAGGCACCCCGTTGATGAATCAAAAGGGGGCGGCGGATCGAAGACGCCCACGGCGAATCACCGCCGCCCCCTGCCTTTGTGGAAGCGCCTATGTGGCCGAACGTTGAGGCCAGACCTGCCAAGCTATCGGACCATGTGTTCCCCGAATCGGTTTGCGAAGCCTTCGGGGAACACGTGGGCATCTTGAAGGTCATCATGGCCGTCTGGAAGCCATTTTGACCCTTTCGGGCCTTCTTGGAGGACGTCTTGGAGGGCTCTTTGGCCGTCTTAGAGGCCATCTCGAGCGTCTTGGAAACCTCTTGGGCCGTCTTGGGGGCCTCTTGGGGCCGTGTCTTGGGCCTCTTGGGCGATCTTCGGGGGCGCTTGGGCCGTTTCGGGCCGTCGGAAGGCAGAAAAAAGCAAATGCTACAATCCTTCAAAAACCTTTCGGAAGTCAGTGATTTTGGCCTTTTCTTGCCTTCCTGGAGGCCCTCTTGGAGGCCTCTTCGGCCGTCTTGGGCCATTTTAAGGCCATGTTCGGCCGTCTTGGTGGGCTCCTGGTCCGTCTGACGCCGTCGGAAGCCGTTTGGGGGGCCTCTATGGGCCGACTTGGGGCCCTCTTGGAATGCTCCAGGGCCGTCTTGGAGGCCCATCTTGGGCGTCTTAAAGGCCTGCTGTGCCGTCTTGGGGCCCTCTTGGGCCGTTCTGGGGCCATCTTGTAGACCTCTTGGGCGATCATTCGCCGATCTTTGGGGGCTCTTGGGCCGTCTCGGGCCGTCGGAAAGCCGAAAAGAAACACATGTCAAAATCCGTCAAAAACTTCAGGACAATCAATGTTTTGGGCCTCTTCTGGCCTTCCTGGAGGCCCTCTTGGGGGCCTCTTGGGCCGTCTTGGGCCAGCTTCGAGCCAACTTCGGCCATCTTGGTGGGTTCCTGGCACGTCAGACGCCGTCGGGAGCCGTCTTGGGGGCCTTTCTGGGCCGACTTGGGGCCCTCTTGGGGCGGTTCGGGGCCGTCTTGGAGGCCATCTTGGGGGCGTTTTGGAGGCTTTTTTGTTTTGTTGGAGGCCTCTTGGGCCGTCTCGGGGCCCTCTTGGGGCCGTCTTGGAGGCCACTTGTGCCGTCATGGGGCCCTTTTGGGGGCCTCTTGGGCGATCTTGGGGGCCTCTTGGGCCGTCGGAAAGCTGAAAAGGCGCAAAACCTAAGGGAAACAATGATGTTGGCCCTTTCGGGCGTTCCTGGAGGACGTCTTGGAGGGCTCTTGGGCCGTCGTGGAGGCCTCTTGCGGGCCTGTTGGGCCGTCGTAGACCGTCTTGGGTACATCTTGGGCCGTCTTGGAGGCACCTTGGGACCATGTTAGCCGTCTTGGAGGCCATCATGGGCCGTCTTGGAGACGTCTTGGAGACCATCCTGGGCCATCTTGGCCGTCTTGGACGCCATCTTGGGCCACCGGGAGGAGGCAGACGCACGACGGATGCGTTTTGAGCGCCTCTCCGGGTGGCCGGCGGAGCGCGCCGGAGCCCCAGGGGGGAGCTCTTCTGGAAAAAGAAGCAGAACCAAAACCGAGAGGGTCTAACACGCCGGGCACCCCTGTGATGAATCCCAAAGGGGGCGGCGGATCACATGGCTTTCGGCCGATCCCGCCACCGTGCTTGGGCTGTGGGTCGTAGTTCTCAGGGGTTCTTCTTCGGTTCGCTTCGAGGCGCTCTCCGGGCCTCTTGGGAGCAGTTTTGGGGCCTCTGGGGGGCATCTTGGGAGCATAGTGAGTGGGGGCATCCTGGGAGCCTCCTGGGAGCCTCTTGGGAGCCTCTTGGGAGGCTCTTGCCCCCTGGGCCGTCTTGGGACCCTCTTGGGCCGTCTTGGGGCCCTTTTGGGGGGCCCCTGGGGCCGTTATGGGGCCATCTTGGGGGCATCGTGGGCCGTCTTGGAGCGTCGGACAGCCGAAAAGGCGAGAATGCCAAAAACTTTCAAAAAACGGTGGAAAAGCAGTTTTTTTTCCCGCTTCGCGAATCCCCACCAGCCCATCCAGAAGCGATGCCCAGAGGAGTTGCCTCGATCAGGGAAGTGGGAAGCACACATAGGAAGCCTTTTATGAGACATCTTGGGATATCTTGAGCCATCTTGGAGGTCATTTTGGGCTCTCCCAGGCGCTCTTAGAGTCATCTTAATCAGTGCCCCCCCAAGAGGCCAACATGTGGCTGAAACCTTCGTAGAATCAATGAGTTGACATTCTCGCCGAGGCCTCTTGGAGCATCTTGGGTGCCTCTGGGGGGTCTCTTGGGGCCTCTTGGGGGCTTGGGTGCCTCCTGGGGGCCTCTTGGGGGCCTCTTGGGGCCATCTTGGGGCCATCTTGGGACCTCTTGGGGCCTCCTTGGCGCTTCTTGGGGCCATCTTGGAGGAGATCGATCAAACAAGAGGGGAGCTTCAATTAGGGTCCCCCCCTCAGGAGGCCAAAATGGAGCCAAAACCATAGTAAAACCAATGATGTTGGCTTCCTCGCCGAGGCGGCTTTGAACGCCCTGACACCTCGCGACCCCCCGTCCAGGTCCAGGGGAGGGGGTATGGGGGAGGGGTACACCCCTCCCCGAAGGGGAAGAAGGACGGGTGGAAGAGGAAACGTTCTAAACCACCTACGCCCAGAGGGCTGGTGGGATTGGATGGATGGATGAGAGAGTAGGGAGAAGGAGGATGAAGAGGATGAGGAGGAGGAAGATGCGGAGGGGGAGGAAGAGGATGAGAAGGGATAGGAGGAGGAAGGAGGAGGAGGAGGAGAGCAAGCAAAAGTGCCAGAGGTCTCTGAGATGCTTCTCGGAGCCTCTTGGGGTATCTCTTGGGCGTCTTGGGACGTCTTGGGGGTATCTTGGCGGTCGTGGGGGGCTCTTCGGCGTCTTGGGTGCCTCGGGGAGGCATCTTCGGGTCGCTTGGGATCCTTTTGGGGTCCTCCTGGGGGCCTCTTGGGGGCCTCTTGGGGCCATCTTGGGGCCATCTTGGGACCTCTTGGGGCCTCCTGGGCGCTTCTTGGGGCCATCTTGGAGGTGATGGATCAAACAAGAGGGGAGCTTCAATTAGGGTTCCCTCTGAGGAGGCCAAAATGGGGCCAAAACCATAGTAAAACCAATGATGTTGGCTTCATCGCCGAGGCGATTTTGTACGCGCCGACGACTCGCGACCCCCCCCCCGTCCATGTCCAGGGGAGGGGGTAGGGGGAGGGGTACACCCCTCCCCGAAGGGGAAGAAGGAGGGGTGCAAGAGGAAACGCTCTAAACCACCTACGCCCAGAGGGCTGGTGGGATTGTGGCCTCTCGGAGCCCTCTTGGCACGCCTCTTGGAAGACTCTTCGCACGTCTTCGGGGCCTCTTGGGCCGTGTTGATGCCATCTTGGGCGGGGCACTCGTAAGCCTTCTCTGAGGCACCTTGGGCCTTTGTTTGGCCGGCTGCGCCACCAGAGGACGCGCGCGGAATCCCGGGGAATCCCTAGAAATCTCAGGAAATCCTTGGCAATCCCCAGGGAATCCCCAGAAATGCGTGGAATCGTTGTGAAACTGGTGGCTTGGACCCTCAAAACCTTGTCAAACTCTTCACTTTCCAGCGCTGCTGTCTGAGCCTTGGGGCACGGTGGCGGACAATCATAAGACCGGCTGCGCGTGAGAGTGGTCCTTCGCCAGCGTGACGTTTGGTGCGCGGCTTCCGCGGGGGCCGAGCCCAAGGGCGCACGGTGGTGCTGTCGCACGCAGGCTGCACACTGGAGGTCACTCTTTCTCGGGGTCCTCCCTGCGTGTAGCAGAGAAGCGCAGACCAGGTCAACGAGCCTTCTTGTGCTTCCCTTCTTGTGCTTTCGAAGGGGCGAAGAGCACGCGTGACCGATTGGGAGAACCTCGAAGCCGCGCACCGTCTTGAGATCGGGATCCAGTTTCGAAGGCAGGGGGTACGTGACGCGACTTGTGGTAGTGCTCTCAAGAGCACAGTGATCGGTCTAGCGGTCAGGCAGCGAGGGAGCATGCGTCGACAGAGAGGGCAACATTTGGTGTGGCCCGGCTGCACCACCAACACGGAGCAGGCAGAGCTCTTCTTTGCCCGCCAACAAGCGGGGATCTAGAGCCTTTGGGCTTGGTATCCAGAAATAGAACTGCGCAAAGCATCCTCATGTGAGTGTGCTCATTGCCTCACGTTTCTGCGCCTGGGTCTGACAGAAGGGCCAGACATGCCCTCCGATTGTTCGCCTACCTGGAATGAGCAAACTTCTGTGCGCACGGTACGCATTCCAAAGACCAGTCGGAGGTAATGGGGCGTTGGTTAGCACCAGGGTTGACCTTGGCTCAACCACGAAGTGCATGGTAAACGTGAGAAGATTAATAGCTTTGACATCTAAAATTATCATCTGGAGTTGCCCGCAACCGGTGTTCCATGTCGAAAGGCGAGTCACACCTTATCCAGGTCCTTAATACCCGGCACATAGCCGAAAACACAAGACACGGTCCTCCCAGTACGTGCACCCTGGAACCTCTCGAACACCAAGAACTATTCGAGTGTCGCATGAAGCATTACTTCCTCAACTTGACCGACGCTTCGGATACAGCAAACGCCCCTTGGTGCGGAGTGCTCCTGTGCTCTGCGTCAGGACGCGGGTGTCGATGACGGCGATTGCGACGATGATTTGGGGGAAGTGGAGGGCGAGAAGTAGGAAGAGGAGGCATTGAAGCATCGGGTCAATGTGAACTCATCGCCTGTCTACTATTGCCAGCATCCGCCGTGGCCAGCCACTCGTCGACGCATTCATTTGAGCAGTGCGGGTCGAAAGGAGGAACAGATCCGTCGACATGTGTGGGAGGCCAAGCACCCGAGCAGATACCTGGCTGCGCTTGGCAAGTTCCAGCCCCAGACAATCGCGGCGGCGCAACTTGGAGGGGAGGGGAGGCGTCACACTATCTTTCAGGGCCCCCGTCTGTCCCACGTGCTCCCTTCGACACCTTTGGCACCGCCAATCGACGTGTTGGCCCTTCAGTGTCCGGCGGACACTGCAGGGGCTGACAGAGTTGTCGACACCCAGGGCTGGCATGGCTGGCCGCGGGCGAATAGAGAATAGAGGCCCATTTTGGCGGCAGTCGGGGCCAGTACCACCCAGCGCTCATGGGGCCAGGCAGGGGCCAGTGGGAGATGCTATGAGGGCCCAGGACAGGGACGAGTCGTTCCAGAGCGTTCTGGAAAGTTCTCACAGCGTTCTGGAGCGCTCTGGAACGGCCGGGCGGGGACCAGTTGGGTTTATTGAGAAGGCCTTACCTATACGACCATTATCTGGGTGATAAGGGGGAGGAACCAACGTCTCACTCAATCCTTCTTGCTATCGACTTCACTATCGATTTCGCCATCAATATATCTTACTGTCCCTCTCACTATCGATCTCGCCATAAATCTCACGATCGATCTCACAAACGATCCCACCATCGATCTCACATCGATCTCACTACCGATCTCCCCATCTATCTCACTATCGATTCCACCATCGATCTCACGATCGATCTCTTCTACCGATCCCACTATCGACCTTACTATGAATATCACCGTAGATCCCACAATCGATCCCATTATCGATCTCCGTATCGACCTCACTATCGATATCACTATCGATCTCACAATCGATCTCACTATCGATCTCAGTATCAGTCTGACGATCGATCTCACTACCGATCTGACTATCGATCTTACTATCGATCGCACAATCGACCTCACGGGACACCACGGTACACCACAGTCGAGGGGCTCAACATTTGGAACCTAAGTGTTTTAATATCCAGAGCAATCTTTTTGATTTCCACATGTTTGCACTGCCGCATCGTCGCTTTCTCGTTTTATGTGCCTCGCGTGACACTTGTTTGGGGGCTGGGTGGTAAAATCGAGCCAGAAGCACTTCGAATTCATGAAATTGTGGGACGGGGGCTGGAATCACGGTCACGATGCTTCGGATGCGCGAATTGGCCTTTCAATCCAAGAAGCTCTCCAGCCTTCGTGTACGATTGCCTTCGACAGCAGCACGCGACGGAGCGTCGGCCTATACGAGAATGTATTCAAGACGTGGGCTGACAGGCTCCACAAGCGTTGGAGATCGCATGGCAGGAGCGGACGCCGGTGAGAACGACACGGACCGAGATGTTCATGGTTTGGAATGCGCTGTCTTGCCGTCTGTCGCACCATCCATAGAGCCACGGCTTTCAGGTCGCAGCATTTTGATTCTTGGCATCGCTCGGACGTGTGCATTTTTCCTTCGGCGAGGACCATCGAGGAGCATCCTCGATCTTTTGGCGACAACCACGCACGAAGCCGAAAAAAGCACAGGAAATGGACGTCCGAGCGATGGCCAGGACTTGGAGAGACTAGATACTAGTGGAAAAAAGGGGTGGGGCGGACTTCCACCCTCGCCGCGCCCCCGCCAGAGGAGGGCCCGTTCCTCCTGCCCGCCCACGCGCAGCCTCGCCCCGCCCGCGCGCACGACACGGACCGGACACCGACACCCACTTTCCTGTGGGGGCCTCTCCGTTCCACTGCGATCTTCCCCCCCCGCCACCGACGGCCGGTGCCGCCGACCCTGCAGGGGGACGACGACGACGACGACGACGACGACGACGACGACGACGACGACGACGACGACGACGACGACGACGACGACGACGACGACGACGGCGGCGGCGGCGGCGGCGGCGGCGGCGGCGGCGTCGGCGTCGGCGACGACGCTGACGCTGACGCTCTGGAGCCCTTCTCGGGGCTCTCTTGGGAGCCTCTCGGGCTCGTTGGGGGCCTCTTCGGGGACTTCCTGGGAAGCTCCGTGGTCACTTGGAGCCACCTCGGAGCGGCTCTGAGGCCTTTTGTAGGGCGATCGCAAACATGGATCAAGGGGGCATGGATCAGCTACGGGTCACGTTTCCACGGGAAGTTGCGGATTTCAGCCGCCGAACGAGGCGGCACCGGCCGCATTTTGGGGAGGGTACCTCCCCCGATCCACTGATTTGGCGACCGCGCGCCAAATCCATGGGTCGCTAATCCATTTTTGCGCGCCCCCGATCTTGTGGCTATTCGCGTCCGGGTGTGCTCGTGCGGCTCAGGGTTGCTGGGCCTAGACAGGCCTTGTAGGGGCCAGCTGCTGCGGCGCGGGCGCCGCCAAGAGCCAATGGTGCCAGGCAAGGGCCAGTGGGAATTAGCGGCGGCAGCCCGCAATGGCACCGTCTCAGGCAAGCCAGGGTGTGCAGAGACTCATCAAGCAAACAGAAAAAAGCAAAAACGGTATGGTGATTGTTTTTATTCATTATTTTGCCGATCGGCGCGGGTCCTCGCACCCCCCCTCCCCCCCCGATGGAGCAGGCCTTGGCTGTTTTTGGGCGCCTGTTACGAGCAGGTGGAGCCCCCCCCAGAGGACGCACGGTTCCAAAAAGCCGCATTAAGCAGAGGTGCAGAGCCAGACCCCCCCCTTCCGCCCAATGTCGAAACGTTGAATGAAAACGCTTACTTAGCGGCGGCAACCCGCAATGGTACTGCCTCAGGTAAGCCAGGGTATGTAGAGGCTCACACAGCAAGCAACAAAAAACAGCATGCAGAGGCTCCTAGTGGCTAGTGGCGGCCATTGGGCAGTTGCGCCAGAGAGGACTAGCAGGGCCAGTATGGGGCTGGTAGTGACGTGAATCAGTGCGGGCGTCAACCAGTGGGGCTATTGGAGCTACTCACGGCTGGTAGCGCCGTCGACCGGGTGCCGCCGTGCGGGGCATGGGCTCGAGGAGGGTTGGAAGGCGCGAGGAGCGGGCTCAGGCGGGCACTGCGTCAGCCGCCGCCGTGCGCTGCATCCGCCGTGGGTTTGCTGTAGAGGCGGCCTCCGAGACGTGGGGCGCCCTCTTTTGGCAGCGCCTCCACTCCCCTCACACGTCAAAAAGCTTTGCGCGCGCCGACGCCGCGCCAACCTACCGTAGGTAGCCGTCTCGGCATGCCTCGTCAGCGGCACTGCGGCAGGACCGGGGGGCTTGTTGTCGACGAGCCCCGCCTCGCCGCCGCGGTGTATGAGGAGGTCGGTCCCGCCTTCGCTCTGGAGCGTCCCGAATCATTCCAGGCTTGGGTTGCTAGGGTACGTTCGGAGACGCTGGAAGGGGGTTCGCGCGGAAGCATCTGGGCGGGGCCCAGTGGCGTTCGAGGGCCTGCGTGTGTTCCTTGGAAGCGTGACCTCAGTCGTAGGCCTCCGTTCATACAAGCGCGTGGCATTTTCAGAGGTCCATCTTGCCAGGGGGAGGAGGAGGAGGAGGAGGAGGAGGAGGAGCAGGAGGAGAAGGAGGAGGAGGAGGAGGAGGAGACGCTGAACTGATAACCACTTTGGGTTCAGGCGGGGCTCTGGTTTGCGGGCCATTCCTTAGACCCCCGTCGGGGAACCGTTTCGTGGCCGAGGCTCACTGTGGCCAGGAGAGCCCCTGTAGCACGATGGCCGCATGTCCAGGGAGGCTGCTTCGTATGTTTGCCAGTGGGTGTAAGCTATTTGCGGACAGGGGGGCCTTCCTCCCTTCTTCTTCTTCTTCTTCTTCTTCTCGACCTTTTCGCTCTCGTCGTCGTCGTCGTCCTCTCGTTCCGCCTGCCTACCGGAGTGGTGCCTCCAATCGCCAGCCTTGCGGCGCCAGCGGAGCTGCTGCCAGCCCTGGGGAGGGCTGGCACTCGTGGAGCTCTGCAAGGAGTTGAAGGCCACGGCCGCGACGCTGCGCGGTCTCTTGGACGTGCAAGGCGAAGCGGGAGGGGCTCAGGGGCCAGGCGGTAAAGCTGCCCTCATCCTCCTGACTGACTGACCCACGCGGTTCTCGGCCCGTCGCGGGCGCCAGAGCTAAGCAGCAGCAGCAGCAGCAGCAGCAGCAGCAGCAGCAGCAGCAGCAGCAGAGACCACTGCCATCCCCCTCATCCCCTGCCTCTTTCGCTTTGTCCCTCTCTTCATCCTCACCTCCTCCTCCTATTTCACCTTGTCCGTCTCCTAATCCCCACTGTCTTCGAGCGGTGCTCGAGCCCGCCAGCATGGCCGTGGCATTAGGAACATGCGGCTGTAGCACTCCAGCGCGAGGGTCAGGCTGATGATTGCAGCAGCGCTGAGACGTATGTTTCGCAGTTCATAAGCAACCGAACAAGTTGGCCGCGTGGTTGCAGCGCATTGGTCGTGCCCCCCTGTCCATGCGAGAGGAGGATGAGGAGCAGCAGCAGCAGCAGCAGCAGCAGCTGCAAAGAGGAGGCCTCGAGGAGGAGGAGGAGGAGGAGTAGGAGGAGGACCAATATAAACCCAAGACACATCAACGACGACGCAATAAACCCTCCCTCCGTGTTCCCTCTTCTTAGGTCCCTACGAGAATTTGTTTGCATTGCCGGAAATGCCTCATTTGAAGACACCCGCCTGAGAAGGCTCAATCATGTCAGAACGCAGTTCTTGGGAGTTCAAAGCCACGATTTAAGGCGATGGTTGCGTCCTGGCAGTACTACATCGTGCTGGAGCGTCATTCCCAGGACGTGACGGTTGCGTCCTGGCCATCCCAACTCGTGCCAGAACGCCATTCCTCAGTGTTTCAAGCTGAATGCGAGCAGCGCTGAGGCGAGAGCCGCATTTTGAGAGGGACCGTCCTCCATCCCTGAAGCTGCTGCTTGCTCGCGTTTCCCTGCTCTTTCCTTCTGCCTCCCCCGCTTCCCTGACTCGGGTGGGACCCATGTACGCGCACCCCGGACGAAGCCCAAGCTCGTCTACGCATTCGCGAGCTTGGCTCCCACCTCCTCCTCCTCCTCCTCCTCCTCCTCCTCCTCCTCCTCCTCCTCCTCCTCTTCCTTAGGTTAAACCAACCTTAGGTAGTTCCTGTGGCGTTCTTACTCGTCCTCCTCCTCCTCCTCGTCCTCTGCCTCCTTGCGCGCCTGCGGGCATTCCGCCCAGATATCGGCGCCTGTCCCTGGCCAACTATTTGCGGCCCTGCTTCGGCCACCTAGATGCGCTCCGGCAGTGAAGTGTTGCAGAATCACGACGGGACTTGCGTGTCGATGTCCATCGGCTGTTCTCGTCAAACAAAAAATGGGGCCACCTTTTACCCGGCCGGCCACTACAGGGCATTGTTGCGGCAGGGTTTGTCTAGGGGCGGCAGCGGCTCGCCGATGGCCTACACAGTGTGTTCGTTTCGTCGGCGTTGTTTCAAGGCCCGATTGAATATTGCACGCGAGCGCGCGCGAATTGGCGGCCGCCATCCGCTGCTCTGTGTCACGCTGTGGCGCAGCGTTGCCGTGGGGGTCACTCACTCAACATTGCTGTTGTCAGGGGGCAGGAGATCCTTCAAGCTGCTGCAAATTGTTAAGACGAATGCGCGCGGCGCTAGGGCGAGAGCAACATTTAGGAGACGGCCCGCCCTCCATCCTCCAAGCTCTGGCAGACGTTTAGGACGAATGTGCGCGGCGCTAAGGCAAGAGCCACATATTGAAAACCACCCGCTCCGCATCCTTGAAGTTGCTGCAAGCTGCTGAGACGAATGTGCGCGGCGCTATGGAGAGAGCACCATTTTGAAAACCACCCGCTCTCCCTCCGTGCAGCTGTTGCAAATTTGAAGCTTCATGATCATATGGTATAAAGAAATCTCAGGCGAAGCGCCCAGCCCGCCCTACGGACACGTCCAGGGGTACGACAGGGAAGAGTCATTCGTATGGTAGAGGGAGGGGGATGGATGATGATGATGCTGCTGCTGCTGATGATGATGATGATGCTGACGATGATGATGATGATTATGATGATGATGATGATAATGATGATAATGATGATTATGATGATGATGATGACGACGATGATGACGACGACGACGATGATGATGATGGTGGCGGTGGTGATGATGATGATGCTGATGCTGATGCTGATGCTGATGCTGATGCTGATGCTGATGATGATGCTGATGATGATGATGATGATGGTGATGGTGATGGTGATGGTGATGGTGATGGTGATGATGATGATGATGATGATGATGAGGTTGAGGATGAGGATGAGGATGAGGATGAGGATGAGGATGAGGATGATGATGATGATGATGATGATGATTCTGATGATGATGATGATGATGATGATGATGATGATGATGATGACGACGACGACGACGATGATGATGATGATGATGATGATGATGATGATGATGATGATGATGATGCTGCTGCTGCTGCTGCTGCTGATGATGATGATGATGATGATGATGATGATGATGCTGATGATGATGATGATGATGATGATGATTATGATCATGATCACGATTATGATTATGATGGTGGTGCTGGTGCTGGTGTTGATGGTTGTGGTGGTGGTCGTGGTGGTGGTGATGATGATGGTGGTGGTGGTTGTGGTGATGATGGTGATGATGATGATGATGATGAGGAGGAGGAGGAGGAGGAGGAGGAGGAAGGAAGCGGCGAACGAGGAGGGAGGGCGGAGGAGAAAAAGGAGGGAGAAGTGAAGATGGATGAGGCAGTAGGAGGAGGGATGGCGAGAGGGGGAGGAGGAGAAGGAGAGAGTATGGAGGGAGGATGGAGGAGGTAGGAGGGAGGAGGCAGGAGGGAGGAGGGAGAAGAGAGGAGGGAGGAGGAGGAGGAGGAGGAGGAGGAGGAAGAATCGGAGGAGGAGGAGGAGGAAGAATAGGAGGAGGAGGAGGAGGAGGAGGAGGAGGCGGAAAAGGAGGAGGCGGGCGGGCGGAGGGCATGATTGAGGGCACGATGAAGACGGACCCATATTATCTGGGGATGTGTTTTTTCAATGTTTGGCCCCAGAGGTCCCGACCACTTCCCTGGGGCAAGTTTCTCGCCCCGGATCCGTTTTTGATTGCCTTGGGGCCCGAGGACGGACCGTGGAGGCTGAAATCGAGAAGGAACGCCGTGATTCGATGCATCAGATCGTCGGAGGTCTGGGGGCGAGGAGGGCGAGGAGTGGCGAGCGGGTGGGCGCTGGCCGCGCCGCTCCCGAGGCAACCGCTGTCGCGGCGGCGCCGCCGCCGAGGCGACGCTCTACTCGGCGCTCCAGGCCTGCCTCCGCGCGCACGACGCCGAGGTCGCCACGGCCGGGGGGGCCCTCGCCGCCTCCGCCTCCGTTCGGGGCGAACGACACGAGTTCCTCCTCCTCCTCCTCCTCCTCCTCCTCCTCCTCCTCCTCCTCCTCCTCTCCCTCCTCTTACGTAAAGAATGGGTACAGCCTTTTTTGGTCTGCGGGTCGAGAGCGAGCCTCTTCCGGTTAAAAGCTAGGCGGGCCACGCAGAGCTCTACTTGGGGAGACAGGGCAACCATAACAAAGAGTGGGTACAGCCAAGGCGCTGAAACAAGGGCCGCTTCGGTTTCGGAAGGGGCTCTTTGTTCCCTGAGTCATTCCGTGGTCGTTCCTCTGTCCCACCTTGTTTACCCATGCACTTCTGGTGTCACGCAGGGCGTTCGTTCCCTATTCAGCGCTCCTGATTTCAATAGCCCGACTGTACTCAGGAGGAGAAAACACACAGACACAATTAATCGCTGATTCCCCCTAAAAATATTGGAAAATATGGGCAGTGGGGGGGAAGACAGAACCCCCCCAAATGTAAAAATATGGGGAATCCTTTTATTTGTGTGTATTCATTTGTGTGCCCCAGGGCCCCTTCATGCACAAAGACCCACAACACTTCTTGCTCATTTTGAGCAGGACTCGCTGTCGGTGTGGCCGCGGACGTTTTCCATGTAAGACAGAAGGCCGCCTGCCCAACAGCGGCCGCTATCGGTTTTGGGCAACACTTGTTGTTGGGTACCATGCCCATTTTCGTTCGTACCCACTTCGGGCTTTCAAATCCGTTGGCAACATTGGGGGGGCAGGAAACCCTTCCAGGGCTCATTCCGACTCCCCCGATTCGATTCGATTCGATTTCGACGGGTTAAGATTCGAGTTCGGCTTCCGATGTGGGTTCCGATTTCACAATGGAGGCCTTGCTAGCCTGTCGATTTCCGCCCATTCGACTTCTCCCGACTCGGCTGCCGACTTCCGCCGATCCGATTCATTTCGATCGCCGATCCGACCTGTCACTTCGACTCTGGGCCCTCCTGCCCTCTCTTCTGTGGAGCGGACGACGGGATGGGCCAGCAAGTATCGAAGTACACTCGTGCAAGCAGCTTCCTGATGATGGGCGCACTCTGGCTTCCATTTCCAATTGCCGACGTCTCCGCTCCCTCTCCCTCCGGCCCCCGCGTCCCCTGAGATCGGGTCGCTTCATTTTTTGGCACCAGGCAATTTCGCCCAGTTTCGGACCCCAGGACCATCACATATCGATCCGGCTTGAAAAGGGAAGCAGAAATAGTGGGTCAATGGCTCTGGTCGTGATTTTTCGTGATATTGGATTCTGTTGTAACAGGACTTGTTTGTAACGTTAGTCGTTTGCGGACTCTGGACGCCAGACTTCTGGCTGTGTGAACAATTTGGTTCCGGATCCAAACTTCTGGCCGTGTGAACAAATTGCGACGCATGATTCGGAGCTCTTCAGCGTTCTTTGGGGGCGCCGCGCCAGGCTACTTGGTCCATCAGCCCAGATCCCTGGCAGACCCCTGACCGGACGAACTCTGACATACGGTCAGGACTTTTGGCTTAGCGTATCGCTCTGCCAGTTCTCTGGCACACCCCGCTGCGGCGCGACACGCTATCCAGATGCGTCAACGTCCCGAGCCTTTCCGATCCTCCCGTCCCGCGGAGCGGAGCGACACGCTATCCGCTTGCAGGGGATAGCGTGCCGCCGGGGCCGCCGCTGCGACACGCTGAGCAAAATTTCCCGACCGTAAGGTCGGTGACGCCCTGGTCCGTGCCATCGGCACGCATTCGGATTCGTTGCTGTCCGCTGCCATGGCTGCCCCTTGACACGACTCTTCCCTGAGCCTGGGCCGCAGCACCTGCAGCCAGTCCAGTTCACCCAAATCTGAGCGCGCCCTCCGCCTCCCCTCCTTCCGCGGCCACTACAGACTACAGTCGGGGCGCTGAAGAAGGAACCCTTTTGGTTGGGGACGGGCTCGGTGTTCCTCGATTGTTTAACAGTTTGCCTTTGGTTGTCCTTAGATTTTCCATGGGGAGTCGAAGTTTAACTTATGGGAGAGGGTGGCCTCGTTCCTTATTTAGGGTTCCTTAGGTCAAGGCCCCGACTGTATCGTCCTCCCCCCCCTCATCGGTTCGGCGGTTCAGAGATGGGGCCCTTGGGGATGGGGGCCTTGGGAAAGGAAGGCATCCAAGGGCGGATTCACACTGTTTGAGGCACCTCGCCTTGGGGTTCTATCCCTCAGGACCCCGTCTTTGCATTGTGGCCGCGCGGGGCGTCGGGTGGCGCCTTCATGTGTACTTTCCCTCAGTTGCACTCAGCTCCCCTCAAGTGCAGTCAATTTCTTTCAGTTCCGCTCACCTTCTTTCAATTACATTCAGTTTCTCGTTTACGCTGAGTTTCCCTCAGTAACACTCTGTTCATCCTCTACTCGCAGTGTCCCTCAGTTACAATCAGCTTTCCTTTAAGATTCCGTTTCCCGCAGTTATACCAAGTTTCTTTCAATTGCATTCGTTTCCTTTACGTATTGTGCAGGCCTTACGGACGGTGCCGCCGACACGAAGGACGACGACCACCACGACGACAACGACAACGACGAGCTGATGACCCTGCCACAGGCTCGGGACATGTGGACGGGCGATGGAGGGGTGGAGGGAGGAGGAGGAGGCGGAGGAGGAGGAGACGGATAAGGAGGAGGAGACGGATGAGGAGGTGGAGGCGTAGAAGAGGAGGCGGAGGAGGAGGAGGAGGAGGAGGGGGAGGGGGAGGGGGACGGGGAGAAGGAGGAGGAGGAGGAGGAGGAGGAGGAGACGGAGAAAGAAGAGGAGGAGGATGATGATGAGGAGGAGGAGGAGAAAGATGATGAGGAGGAGGAGGAGGAGGAGGAGATGGAGGAGGAGGTGGAGGATGAGGAGAGCCCTTTGTCTCCTCGGAGGCGAGCGTCTGGGAGGCAAGCACCGAAGGGGAAAGCCCCCCAGCTGGGGAGGGGTCACAACCTCCCCCGCGGGACCCCGCCCGGGACTACCCCCCAGGACCGCTCAGCCGTTCGAGGGACCCACCCTCAACCCGGGGAGGGACAAAGGGAATGGGGTCCCCTTTTGACGTAGTTGCGACATTGTTCGGTCCCCCTTGTTTCTTGGATCTCCCTCACGACGACGACGACGATTCATAGGAGGCTCGCGTACTTGAGGCGAAGACCGAGGGGGAAAGCCCCTATAGGCCCTAGCGGGGGAGGGGTCAAAACCCCCGGTCCCCCCCTGGACCCCACTCCGGGACCACCCCCCGGGACTCCCCTTGGCCCCCCCACCTTCCCCCAGCCTGGGGGGGACAAAGGAAAGGGGCTTCCTTTCGAAGAAATGTTCGGTCCTCCTTGTTTGTTCGATCCTCCTTACGTCGACGATGCAAAGGAGGCTGGCGTACTTCAGTTGTGGTTGGACTGGCCTCGCGCCGAAGGGCCTCCCACACACGCCGACTGGGCGGGCAGAGTTACATGCAGTTTTTCTCAGTTACATTCCGTTTGACTTGAGCTATATTCACTTCCCAGTCCGCGTCAGCGCAGATTGCAAGAAATTGAAGGCAAACTGGGTGGAACAGGAGGCGTTCCGTTATTCACACCCTCCTCCTCCTGCTGCAAGAAACTGATGGGACACTGAGTGTAACAGGATCTGCCCCGTTACCTACAGTTTCCTCTTCCTCCTGTCCACCGCCGAAGCTGGCGGGGGGGCTTGGGGAACATCACTGCAAAAAGCGGGTTATTTACATAAGGTTCCCCTTCCTCGTCATCATTCACGATTATCGTCATCATCATCAGCATCATCACCACCACCGCCATCACCAGAACCACAACCATCATCATCATCATCATCATCATCAGCAGCATCATCATCATCATCATCCGTATCCATTTTGGCTCAAACACGAAACGTGCGGCCTGGCGCTTCGTGCCTGGTCGCAGCCGAAGGCCTGGCTCGAGGTTATTTTAGCTTCAGGTGGCTCCGATTAAACAAGTTTTATCATGTGTGCGAGCTCCCTCGCCCTGTGCCTCTCTGATCCCCGGATCCAGGCATGGCGAGCGCTAAGGAGATCCAGAAGATGCTGCAACATCACCTTGCAGCCACCCTTCCAGCAACATCGAGAATGCTAGACGATCGACTGACTGTCCAAGGTCAGACCTTCAAGGAGATGACCACCCGCATCGATACGATCCAGGAGTCACAGAGAATGACAGGTGCGAGGATGGATGCACTTGAGCACGCTCAGCTAGCAATGTCTCGGAGTCCATTGTCACACGTGGTGCAGTGTGGCAAGCGTCGTGCGGTGGATGGTGGGTCGGTGGGGGACGGATCGACGTTGGCAGGACGAGGAGGAGGCGCAGATGTAGCTAGTCTCGAAGATGTTCATAGGTTGCTCATACTTGGATTCCAGGACCGTGTCGTGGCATCGACTCTCGAGACTGTGGGCAAAGATATTGTCTCGTGCGACCGCGGAAGCAGCTCGTCTCATCCGGGTGCGTGCGGATGATCTGTAGAAGAAGGTCACCCTTGACTTCCCGTCCCCAGCCATGGCCTCTGATTTCTCGGAGAACTTCAGGAAGTTGAGGGGTACTCGTTCCCCAACCCCCGTGCCCCTGCGGAAGTCTGGCCTTTCCGTGTTCGTCGGAACCTTTCTCCTCAGCATCGGCTTCTCTTCTTTAAGATGGCAAAGTGGGTGTTGCAGTTCAGGAAGAACTGAGTAAGCAGGGCCTTCAGGCTAATTCGAATGGGATCGGAGGTGACGTTTTTGGTCTTCGGTCGTCGAGGACCCGGCCCCGCTGTTGCATCTCTACTGCTGTCCCCAGAAGCAGGATGCAATGCCTATCGAAGCTGATGAAGTCGGCGTGAGGACACTGGGCCATGATAGCGTCCCGCTTAGGCAGAAATTCCAGGATGCGTTTGAGACTGCCCCCGCGCGTCCCTTTTCATTTCGAGCCCAACTGGCTAGACCGTAATCAGGTTGGGAGTAGATCCTTAAGTTCAGT